CGACTTTACTAATGAGAAGTGCGTGAAGATACTGAATGCGCAAGTCTGTGCTTGCTGGAGGTATGCAGATCATTCTTAACCCGTGCATTGGTAGACAATGCAAGAGCAAATGCTGGTACGGAATCACGAACGCACTTGTACTGCTAACTGTGGTGAGCCCTAAACTAAACAAATCCGTATTTGCAATTTTAGCCTTGCCTTATTGTGGAATTAGAATCTATTATAGGGCTGGTAGACGGCTACTTGCTAAGTGGCCCAATTATACTCAATGAAAAGCAAGTAATGGGATTTGTAATTCAGCTGCCACACAAGACGACAAATATGAGCGGACATTTGACGTGGCTCCTTGCCATTTCGCACAAACTACATTAAATTAATGCAAGATGAGTCATAAATGCCTGTGACATACATTACCTATGGCTGCTAGGTAGAAAATAAACAGTGAGATTAACACAGTGTACCGGGAAATAAGGCTGAGTGCTTTTGCAATGAGAAAACGGGGCTTGGAATTAACGAAATATACGTAAAGCGTTTCCGGTTTGTATAGAAAAGTTAGCCTTTTTTAATTTGCAGCAGGAACTGCCTCCCTTATTGTAAGGGAAGTTGATGAGCTACTTGTTGACAAGCTAAGGCAATGTGCTCGCGCGGACCGCTATGGAAAGCCAGGCAGCCATGTGTGGGCGACTGCTCTGCCTATTGTTTTGGCACTTCAGGGCGCATACGCCAACCACTGCGCTCACCAGCGCGTGCTCAATAATAGCCGTCAATTTTTTGACGGGGCCGCTGATCCCACGTTTGGAGAAAACAAAATAGAACACGAGAGGGATGCTGCTTCACTCATTTATGGCAATGTTAGAAAACTGTAGATTTTTGGAATGGACTGGTTAAATGAGAGGGAGCTGCGGTCTACTTGAAGAATCGATTTAGGCTCGTCGAATCCAAGTTTCGTTACAAACGACATGAGTGACCTGCGGCTCGTGTGGTGTGATCATCTATTCCGATTGATATCTTAAGAAAAAAAGCCTTTGTACCATAAAGTACGCCAGTTTGGTCGAATCCCCAGAACATTTATGTGTTTATATGATCATTTAGGAAAAGAAGTGGGGATTCTCAAACATTAACTGCGCAGGCACTGGTTCGCTTAACGCCTACTAATAACTTAGCCTGTAGGCCAATCACATTCCCAATATAATTGTAACGTTTGTGAACAGGTTACTATAACGTGTATTCGTAATGAATAATATAACGTCAACCAACGGCCGCTATGCACGCGCAAAAACACTATGGCTGTCTATACTAACCGGATCACGGACTGAATCCAACGGACAATGAGGAAAAAAGAGAGCATCGGAAAAATGAATCATCACACAAAAAAGGTACAAGGGAGCAATAAATACCGCACATACTTCAAAACATACAAGCCGACCTCGTCTGATCTGTAAGAGCCTAAGCTGGGACTGTGTTCAAATTACTACAAGTATCACGCCCTCTGCCGTATAGGGAGACCAGTAAGAAATGTTTATTTTATACAGGAACTCAGTGGTGATCTAAATCACTGCCGCGCGTCTGACTGTTGGCCACGTGTGGACGTGAATGCGCAAGCTTCACGTGAAACTAACTAACTGGCCGCGTAACCAACAGCTTGGCCAATGTCAGTGTACGGTACCCGCAATCGCATGTCTTGAAAGGAGATAGAGGAGTGCAGTCACTTGATGGTTTGCTGGGTTGGCGCCGACGCTACACGCTAAAATACACAGCTGAAAGCACAGCAAAATGACCACAAAAATGCTAAAAAACTGCCAGCGCACAGAATCTGAACAAACAACCGAAGAGAAACGGCAATGGATCCAACTGAAATACTACATGTCGCTGCATAAGGATGCTTACCGACTTATCCTGAGTACTCAACACTTTTCGTACGGATGGCTTGTACAAAAACTCTTATTATACAAATTACGTGCTT